ATGGCTGTACCCACCATCCTTTCAGAAGGAACCCAAAGCAAGTCACTTGGAGAATGAATCCAATGATTCCATTGTTTCTTCAATGAGATTAAAGTGTCTAGCTCAGCCCTTTTAATTATAGTTGACATTTTCTGAGTGTCAGAGCCTCCGTGTATGGACGTGTAGGTTGGGCACCACACAAGGGCACTGTGTCTAAGGGAGTGCAATTTCTAGCACAGACATCATATATTTATGTTTATTATAACAACTTTCCAGTAGGTGGCAGTGAAGTTTCTTGTTCTAATACACTTATAAAATATGATGATTTTTTCACATGGAAGTAAAGAGTCCTAAGAAAGGGACCGCTTTCTCTAATTGTCACAAAGGCACTACTTGGGCTAGTAGTCCTATCAAGTTTGCATGAACCTGGCACTCTTTTAGATATTGAATAGGTATTAACTTTTTCAAGCCTCACACTAACCTTTAGAGGTTGATAACTTTTACTAACCATTTTATAAGTGAAAAAATTGAGCCATAAAGAGGAAAAATAACTTATTTAACTTGGTAAGTGGTAGATCCAGGATTCACACCCAGAGCCTGTGTTCCTAACCACTATTCTTTGTAGTTAACTAATCTATGGTAGTCCCTGCCTCCCTGCCCCACTCTGCTTCCCGTGTAGTTCTTTGTCGTCATTGAGGATTCTAGCCCAAGTCTTTTTGGCAAATTCTTAGTAGGCCAGAGTTCACACATGCTGCATTCATCTCTGGGCTGTGGTGGCGAGGGAGCCTCCCCAGTAGTGCCCTTTGGTGCTCTGGGGATGACAGACATTTACATCCCATTCTCCCATTTGTCAATTGATCTACTCTTTGCAGTTCACAGTGCAAATGTTCTGCCCTCACTGGGGACGGGTGTAAGAGGTAGGGGTTTAGGGCTGGAAGGTGTCTGGGTGTGGGTGTGGGGGGTGGGGATGGAATACCAGGGCAATGGTAAACCGAAAGGGTCTGAGCTAGGGAGCAGGAGAACCAGGTTAGAGGGAGGGCATGTGATCCTCTCTGGGACTGAGAGGGGCTCAAGTCGTCATTTCAGCATGGAGAGGGCAGTGTGTGCGTGCGCGTGTGTGTGTGTGTGTGTGTGTGTGTGTGTGTGTGTGTGTCGGGGAGGGGGTGGCCCTGAGCAGCTCACTGATGCATCAGAGCCTGCACTGTGGGAGGAGGGGCAACTTGGGATTCATTTGAAACAGGGTGACCTAAATCCTGGGTGAAGGTGCTTAAATTGTGATCCTGGGGAAGATGGTGTCTGGCAAAATCTGACTTAACTCTCTCATTTCTGCCTGCCTCTTTGTCCACGTTTGTGTCTTTGCCTGTTTCTGTGTCTCTCCACACATGTCATTTCTTTCTGTCCCATCTGTCCTTCTTTCCCATCTCTTTGCTTTGGTCTTGCTCCTGCCTTGTTTCCATTCCACCTGCTATCCCCTGCAGTCAGAGGACACAGACCTGCCCTACCCGCCACCCCAGCGGGAGGCCAACGTCTACATGGTTCCCCAGAACATCAAGCCGGCTCTCCAGCGCACTGCCATTGAGGTAAGTTCAGCCGGGGCAGGTGCTGGGGCTGTGAGCAGCCTGGCCCTTTCTCTTCCTGGGGGGCCTGGGGCCTTCCAAGCTGCTCTTCTCATTCTGTGTCCCCAGATCCTGGCATGGGGCCTGCGGAACATGAAGAGTTACCAGCTGGCCAGCGTCTCCTCCCCTAGTCTCGTAGTGGAGTGTGGGGGCCAGATGGTGCAGTCCTGCGTCATCAGGAACCTCCGGAAGAACCCCAACTTTGACATCTGCACGCTCTTCATGGAAGTGGTGAGCGTCATTTCCCTGCCATCCCCTTTCAGGGTCCTGGTGGCTAGAATTTCCTCATGGCCCCGAGCAGCTTGGGGTTGTGCTCCAACTCCCTGTGGGATCCCAGGTAGGTCACAGCATCTCTCCCACCTCACACTCTACACACTGAAGAGTTTAGGTCTGTGTGTGGTACAAAGGGGCCAGATTGCTCCCTGCTACCCAGATCCTGGATCAGCAGAAGTCCCAGAGAGCCACTCCATGGCTGTTTCCCCTTCTAGGGCAGGTTTCAGTCCCCTGGAGCTCCTTCAGAAAACTTCCAGGGCTCTGACCTTCAGTGACCCCTTCAAACCCTCCCTAATCCAGTCCTTCCTCAGCCTGGGCCCCCCAGAGGAGCCCACCCCCACAGCCCTGGTGCCCCCCAGCCCTCTCCAGCTCCTTGGTCTGCCAGTGCCTAGTGGCCATAGTAAGGCAAGTCTGAGGAAAGGAAAATGGTTTGCAAGATGAAAGTGCTATAGAAATTCCAGGCCCAGTGGCTGTCAGCAGCAGCCTCGTCTCGGCTGAGCCAAAGCCGCCACTGAAGGAGAGCATATAAATTATTTCAAGTTGTGTTCAAAGTGCTTTTGGGGTGGTGGGGGGAGAAGAGTCTCGGTCTGTAAGCCAACTCTTGAGTATCCACCTGGGGGGGACTGTCTGCAAGAGATGGGCCAACTCTCCTCTCGCCCTCCCCAGCCAGGGAGGGTTCAGGAAAAATAGACGTGTTTTAACTTCAGGCTGAACTGGATGTATTTGAAAGGTAAAGCTGTGGGGGGAAAGCCGGCCTCCACATACAGGATCTAAGAGGCAGAAGGACAAAGTGTGTGGCTTCTGCTCCACTGGCCAGCTCCTGGGTGCAGCCAACCACCATCTCGGACTTCTGGCTGTTGGGGATTATCCGTGGGTTTATGGTCATTTTCTGCTCCTTGGGTTTGTCCTGTGAGAGGAGCCCTCCCACTGTCACCTGAGACTTCCCAGAGATGGGTTCAGGCTGGTGTCCAGAGCTCCCCTCCTCCCCCACCCAGATGCTGCCTAGGGAGGAGCTCTATTGTCCCCCCATCGTGATCAAGGTCATTGACAACCGCCAGTTTGGCCGCCGGCCTGTGGTGGGCCAGTGTACCATCCGCTCCCTGGAGAGCTTCCTGTGTGACCCCTACTCAGCGGAGAGTCCATCCCCACAGGGTGGCCCAGGTAGGGGAAGGGGCTGTTGATGGGGAGGACCAGGGCAAGGGGGCTCAGAGTGGGCAGCACTTCCCAGCCGAGAGGTGTCCCGAAGCCCTTCTCGCACAGGGACTTGAGTGCGTAGTGGTTTCTACTCGGCTAGACAGGAAGGGTGGGAACCTCGCCTTCCTCAGGGTATAGCCTGGCTCTGGGCCAGGCACACCAGCAGCAGGTGACTAATACCAATGGGAACTGAGAGGTGACAGAGATGCAGGAAGACAGTGAGGTGGGGAGGGAGGAAAGAGTGTGAGGAGAGGAAGAGAGAACTGGGAGACAGGAATGTGAAGGAGGATGGGAGACACGGAAATGGGAAGGGGCAGAACTGGGTGGGAGGAAGAGAAAGATAGAGATGGAGAAGTGTAGAGAGGCTGGGGGATCCTGTCTCAGATTCCTGGCTGAGTCTTGTGGCTGAAGAGGGTCAAGCCCCTGGAGAGACCTCGTTCTCAGGCCTGGACACTACTGTCCCCTACAGACGACGTGAGCCTGCTCAGTCCCGGGGAAGATGTGCTCATCGATATCGACGACAAGGAACCCCTCATCCCCATGCAGGTAGGATGGGCACCAGGTCCCTGGGGAGAGGCACTAGCTCCCCCAGGAGCCGGCCTTGGCAGCCCCCTTCCCCTCCACTCCACACCTCTGCCCACTCCTCCCTCACCTGCATCATCACTCAGCCATGAAAACATCTTCCTCTGTACCCTGGTGGCTGGATACTGTGTGATGGAGGGACCTAGATGGGAGCTTTCAGTCTGGTCGAGGGAGGGATGTGTGGTCTTCTGGGCAAGACCCTGTCCTCTACCTTGGGGGTTGTGCTGAGGGCTTTCCCCTGGAGATCACGCAGTAACTCAGGATGGGGGAACAATGGAAGAGCAGATGGGGTGGAGTGACTGGGCAGTCTCTCAGGCACTCCAGCCCCCATCGCCCAGCCCTGGACAGGCCCCTTTTCAGCAGGCATGTTCTTCTACAGGCTGTGCTTGGTGGCAGCTTGGACGTAGCTTAGCAGAGGAGGCTGTGTCCATGTCAACAGTCCCTCTCAGCCCATTCCCCCACCTCCAGGAAGAGGAAGGGAGAGGGGCAGGAGAGGGACATTATTCTAAGTGTCTTCAACCCTGTGGGGAGGTCAGTGTTGTCCTTTTGCGGTATCCTCAGCAACCTAGGGCCAGCTGGTTACCACGTACCAATGCCAAAAAGCATGGCAGGCCTGTGGCATCTTTTACCAGGGGAGTAGCACTCTTCCCATCTTGGGCCCTGGAGTGGCTCTGGATGCTGTAGGGCTGAGCCACCCAGTCCTTCCTGCAGTGGCGAGGGAGAAGGGCCTCCCCATGAGCACCAGCCTTGAACTCACCGTCTGCTTCAGGTTGTCACCCTCCTCTCAGGCTTTGCATAATGCTGGTCACACCTTTGGCACCCTGGGGCTTCCAGAGCTTCCACGCTGCCCAGAGGCAGAGCCTCCCAGACCATGTAGACAGCACCTGTGTCCACAGGCCCACAGCCTTTACCCAGGGATGGAGTGGCAATTTAGGAGGGTTCTGTGTTCTTGAAATCATCAATCGAATATCATCCTTGAGAGCAAGAGAACAAACTAGGGTTCTGGGTTGGGCTCAGGATCCTCGAAACTAGTTCGAAGCTGTCCCTGGAGATGTGTTTATAGGGCTTCTCTCTGACATTTAGGGTTGTTTTCTGCTTCTTTCTCTCTCCCTCATCTTTCTGCCACTTCCAAGCACAGGTCTCTGGCATTCAGCACTGGGGCCTCTGACTCCATACTTTGACTGATGCTAAGAGGTCCTGAGAAGCCCTGGACTTTTCATCTCTCCAGCCTCCATGGTTCTGCCCTGCCATCCATTCTTCTGCAGAGACCTCCATCCCTAATCTCTTGGCCAACTGGTTATTTTGTAAGACTCATTTTAGGTGTCTTTCAAGGAGTCTTCCCTGGCTCCTCCCTTCTTCTGTAAGACCTGTCTATGTGTCAGTCACTGTATGTGCCCTAGGACTTGCTTGTCTGTGTAAATGCCAGCATCTTCCCTAGACTAAGCTTATGGCAGCAACTAAGGTTCCTTCCTCTTTGTGTACTCAATGCCCAGCACAGGGCCTAGCTTAGAGGAAGTGTTCAATGAAAGTCTATCTGTCTGGGTGAATGGGTGAAAGTGTGGATAGATGGGTGAATGGGTAGATGGAAGGATAGATGGGTGGATGGCTGGATGGGTGGATGGCTGGGTGGATGGGTGGGTGAATGGGTGGATGGGTGAATGGGTAGATGGATGTGGATAGATGAGTGAATGGGTGGATGGATGGGTGAATGGGTGGATGGATGTGGATAGATGAGTTGAATGGTGGATGGATGGGTGGATGGGTGGATGGATGTGGATAGATGAGTTGAATGGTGGATGGATGGGTGGTGAATGGGTGGATGGATGGATGGGTGGATGGGTGGATGAATGGGTGAATGGGTGGATGGATGGGTGGATGGGTGAATGGGTGGATGGATGTGGATAGATGAGTTGAATGGTGGATGGATGGGTGGTGAATGGGTGGATGGATGGATGGGTGGATGGGTGGATGAATGGGTGAATGGGTGGATGGATGGGTGGATGGGTGAATGGGTAGATGGATGTGGATAGATGAGTGAATGGGTGGGTGGATGGGTGAATGGATGGGTGGATGGGTGAATGGATGGGTGGATGGGTGAATGGATGGGTGGATGGGTGAATGGGTAGATGGATGTGGATAGATGAGTGAGTGGGTGGATGGATGGGTGAATGGGTGGATGGATGGGTGGATGGGTGAATGGATGGGTGGATGGGTGAATGGATGGGTGGATGGGTGAATGGATGGGTGGATGGGTGAATGGGTAGATGGATGTGGATAGATGAGTGAATGGGTGGATGGATGGGTGAATGGGTGGATGGATGGGTGGATGGGTGAATGGATGGGTGGATGGGTGAATGGATGGGTGGATGGGTGAATGGATGGGTGGATGGGTGAATGGGTAGATGGATGTGGATAGATGAGTGAGTGGGTGGGTGGATGGGTGAATGGGTGGATGGATGGGTGGATGGGTGAATGGATGGGTGGATGGGTGAATGGATGGGTGGATGGGTGAATGGGTAGATGGATGGGTGAATGGGTGGATGGATGGGTGGATGGGTGAATGGATGGGTGGATGGGTGGATGGGTGGATGGGTGAATGGGTAGATGGATGTGCATAGATGAGTGAATGGGTAGATGGATGGGTGGATGGGTGGATGAATGGGTGAATGGGTAGATGGATGTGGATAGATGAGTGAATGGGTGGATGGATGAGTGGATGGATGGGTGGATGAATGGGTGAATGGGTAGTAGATGGATGTGGATAGATGAGTGAATGGGTGGATGGATGAGTGGATGGGTGGACGGATGTGTGGATGGATGGAAGAGTGTGTAGATTACCTGCCCAGTGCCTGTATGGGTCTGAGGAGGAACCTCTCTTGGCTAGGGAAACCCAAATGAAAATTTCAGGTGGCCATACATGAAATTTAGCTAAACTCAATGCTAGTGCCTTCTGGCCTGGTTGGATGTTTATAGCTGAATTAGACAGATAATTTCCCCCAATCTCTGGGCTGCCTCCTCCTGGCTCCTGTCTTCTGCTCCCTCAACAGGCCTGTCTGAGACTGTGCAGGGAAGTGCAGGGCCTGCCCAGCAGGACTTCTGTTCTGTGTGTGCTGTCTTCAGAATGTCTGCAGACTCAGATGGGGAGAGACTATTTTAGGGCCAGAGCCAGGACTATGCTCTTTGTGGGAACACATGGACACTCTGGCTAGAGCTGCTGGCCAGACAGAGGGATGAGGAACTGGAGTCTGGGCTCCTGGAGGTGTGCCCATAGTGAGAGGAGCTAGGCCTCACCTGGCCTCAGAGGTGGGCAGGAGAAGGAGGAAGAAAGACCAGCCTGCTCTGATGGAGGAGGCTTGGATCTTGCCCTCATGAGCACTCTGTCCAATGGAGGAGACAGAGACCTATTCTCAAGGAGCACCAAGTCCAGCAGGGAGACTAGTCCTGGTCTCCAGGGAGCCCTGGCCCTCTGGGGAAGCCCCCAGTCTGGTATCTGATTTTGTACTGTGTTTTTCTCTGAGATCCATTGATCTGACTTGGCTGATCCAGGAAACTTTCCACTCACTACATTTCTCATCCATGTCCCCTGGCACTTTTGAGGACTAGGCACTCCAAGGCTGACCCAGGAAGCAGTGAGCTCCAGTTCTAGTGGTTTTCCAGATAAGTTTGGCTGAGCTGTCTCCCCCTGTGCATTCCTCCAATACAGATAGAATGAAAGGCCCTGGCCTCCAGGAACTGGAGGAAAAAGAAGTCTGCCAGCACCTGGATGTCTCCTGGCTGCTGTTTGCCCACCAGTGTTTCTCGGTGGCCCCCACTACTGTGCTCACCAAATCCTGGCTGTAGGCCTGGCCCCGGGCACCCCCCCAGGTGCAGCCTTCCATCCTGGTCCCCTCCCATCTCTTTCTTCAGTTATGCCTTCTCTCTGCTCATGAAGCCTTCTCACCACCATCTGCCCAGGTCCTGGGATGAGTCTGCCACACATTTAGAAAATGTCACTTGAGACTCTTCTGATGCTCAGGCCATGAGCTGGCACTCACAATGGAGCACTTTTCAGGTTTCTAGAAATGTTGGGAATGTGCCAAAAGTGGCCAGTTCTGGAGATGATTCAAAACATATGCATAAGGCAGATCTGTCCACTCTGCTCTCCAGGGTTCATGGGTTGGTGCCTGTCTCAGGCTGAGGAGCCCCCGGCTGGGTGGGTGCCTGGCCTCTCACACTGTTCTTCATGGTGACATGAGCTGGGATGACAGATGCTCATGCATCTTGACTCCACCATCTGTTCTTGGTCTGTGAGGTTGTCCCATGTGTGGACTTCGGGCTGGTGGCCTGGGGGTGGGGGTGATGGGAGTGTGTGTGGTATGTGCATGAGGGCGGGGGAAGATGGGAGGAGTGTGTGCCGGCTCCCAAGGGTGCTGGCTGGAGGCATGTCTAAGGTTGGTGGTGGCGTTGCAGGAATGGTGGCCCTGACTTTTAACTTTCTAAGGGCAGGCCTGGGTGTGTCCTTGGAGAGGGACAGCAGAGGCACCCTGCTCCATCTAGTTCTCTGCTTTAAAAAAGGATAAATTTATTAGTCTTTGATCATAAATGTGATACATGTTCATTATATAAAATTTGAAAAATATAGAATATAATGAACAAATAGGCATTACCGCCACCAAACTGACAATCAGAATGTATTGCTCCCAACGTTTCATTTCTATCCTTTGCTCTCCCCTTGTGTTTCTTTTTCTTTCTCTGAATCTGTCTCTGACTCTGACTCCATTCCTATCTTTAAAACAGAATTAGGGTCTTTGCTTGCTAATCTGTTTTTTTTTTT